GATGCCGTAGATTGGGACAAAGCCTTCCAGCTGCAAGGCAAGGCCTGGGCTCTGGCAATTTCTTCTCAATCCTTAGGAGATTGTGAAAAGTGCTAAAAACCTGGTTGTTCCCCCAACTCTCAGGATAAGGTATTGTGGAACCTCGTTTAGCTTAGCTTAGTTTTTAGTTTAAGACAGAGTGCTTGTTTTTCTGGTCAGCTATCCTGTTTTTTTATTTATTTGTAAGCCACCCAGACTTATTTAGGAATTGGGCAGTTCCAAAATTGGATTAAATAAATATCTACAAATCTCTCTATTTCTCTCTCTCTATTTCTCTCTATTTCTCTCTATTTCTCTCTCTGTCTCTCTGTCTCTGTCTCTGTCTCTGTCTCTGTCTCTGTCTCTCTCTCTCTCTCTCTCTCTCTCTCTCTCTCTCTCTCTCTGTGTGTGTGTGTGTGTGTGTGTGTGTATACATACATTCATGCATACACACAGAGAGAGAAACATTCACAGTATGAAAAATTAAACATATGGCTTAGGAAATAGTCTCAGTTATCATTTAAAATAATTATAAATTAAGTAACTTTGCAATTAATGTTTTAAACAGGAGAATCACAGAAGGGGAAAAACTTCTTTATATTTTGCTTTACATGCTATGGAACCTTGGAGCTATCCACCAGAATTATGGGATCCACTGAGTTTAATGGTGTCAATGCAAGCAGATGAACAGATTAAATCATTAAGAAATTTGTCTTAATTTTTGCAAAAATCAATATAAAGGCATTTTACCTTTATAACTGAAGTGAAATTACCAGTCAAAGCATCAGTCACATTGCCTTATGAGAGATACAAACCCTATTCTCAATGTTCTTTAGACCAATGTCTTTTTTAATACCTAACTACATAACATAAGAGAAAATCAAATGATGCATAGAATTAATAATCCTGGATATGTCACCTTCCTTTTGGCCCGATACATGAAATCCACAGAGGAACCTGTAGAACTGCTATTTGGCCTTTAAACTCAGGAGAAGTTCTGTATCATGAAAAATCTTTGTGCTCTGTTATTTTATAATTCCAGATAATTCAATCTAGAGTTTGCCATGATAGGAGACATTTGTCCTAGTGGGCCATTCCTTGCTACATACTATGAAGAACGGTTACAGGAACTGGGCGTGGCTAGTCTAGTGAAGAGAAGGACCAGGGGAGACCTGATAGCAGTGTTCCAATATTTGAGGGGCTATCACAGAGAGGAGGGGGTCAACCTATTTTCCAAAGCACCTGAAGGCCAGACAAGGAATAACGGATGGAAACTGATCAAGGAGAGATTCAACCTGGAAATAAGAAGAAATTTTCTGACACTGAGAACAATCAACCAGTGGAGCAGACTGCATCAGATGTTATTGGTGCTTCATCACTGGAGGCTTTCAAGAAGAGACTGGACTGCCACTTGTCAGAAATGGTGTAGTGCAGTGATGGCGAACCTTTTAGAGACCAAGTGCCCAAACTGCAACCCAAAACCTACTTATTTATCGCCGGGTGCCAGGTGGGCGTGGCCCACTGGGTGGACGTGGCTGTGGTGGTATGGCAGACTGGGTGGGTGTGGCCAAGGTGGGCGTGATCACCTCAATGTTGCTCATGGGGAGGGACGCCTGTGGGGGCCGGGCAGGGTTGGGGGAGATCCAGGGGGTCTCTGGCAGGTGGGGCGGTGGGCAGGAGGCTTGTCCTGCGGGGTGAGGCAAGGCAAGGCGAGGCAGGGTGGGGGTGCCATTGTCACAGGGCAACGTGAGGCAGGGGCCGGGGTGGCTGCTGCCTGACACCATCGGCCCCTGCACACAGAGGCCAGTGAACGCATGGGTGCTGGGATACATCCGGCCATGTGGGACCTCAGCAAGTTAGCGTACAGCTGGTTGAAGAGGGATGGTTGCCATCTCCAGGGCATGGTGCGCGTGCCCACAGAGAGGGCTCTGAGTGACGCCTCTGGCACACATGCCATAGGTTCGCCACCACTGATGTAGTGTCTCCTGCTTGGGCAGGGGGTTGGACTAGATGACCTACAAGGTTCCTTCCAACTCTGATTCTATTCTATTATATTCTATTCTATTCTAGCCATCCCACCATTTTCCTTTGACTGGGAAATGTCTCTGTGCCACCCAGTTGTAGAGATTAGGAGGAGAGAGAAGTTAACATTTCATTCTGACTCTCAGGATGTTTTCCTGTGATATTTCTATTCTATGCAGGTCTTCAGGATGGTCTCTATCATGCTGTGAAAGTCATGGCAGAGGCTAGACGTGTCCACATGGAGCCCTATTTTTACCAGGCAGCACTGCACCCAGATGCAGCCATGTTATGTCAGAACGAGTGAGTGATTGTGCTCTCTTTCTGAGGGACAGTTTCGGGGATCTGTTAAATGGATTCGATTCCATGCAATCTTCTGCAATTCAGTAATGAAACCAAGGACCTCTGGTATTTCCATAACTAATTCCTATCCACTGTAGTAAGCTAGGAATATGTTGTTTGTCCTATTTGTAAAAAAGAGACAGGTTTACAAATAAGCTCCCTGTTTTGCTGCCAACTTGGAAGATGTGGAATGGACAACAGTTAACAGAGAGTTGGAAGAATTCCCTAAATGTAACTGCTCAATTGGCTTCTCCAAAAGAAAATGGCTTTGGAAATATTAATGATATTTAAAATAAAACAAAACACAAAAAGATCCTAAAGTTGATTATTGCATTTCAAGAGACTGTTAAAGGGATATTTCAGAGTAACTGGGATTTTCATTCTTCCATTGCTGAGTAACTCTGAGATCATGATTCTCCTTGAAATATCCTATCAGTGTTTTAGCTTTGGGTATGAGCAAAGCTTTTTTCCAAAATGGTGGGATGCGCTCCTTTTGTTCTGCCTTCACTGCCACCTGCTCTTTCCTTTCAGGCTCAGAAGTGACCCCTTCCACTTGGGAATGCTCAACCCATCCCATGCAGCCCAACTCAATGACACCTATGAATTTGGAGGCAATGATCAGAGCCTGCACTACCTAAGGAGTCTGGTTGAGGACTTCCCAAATGCTTGTCTCCTAGATCAGAAAGGGCAGCTGGTTGCCTGGAGCCTAAGTGATGCCCTTGGATGCCTGACACACGGCTATATTCTTCCTGAGTACCGGGGAAAGAGACATATGAAAACAGTGGTGCAGGCAATAGCCAGAAAGTTGCATGCTAAAGATTTTGCCTTGTATGCTAGAGTTCGGCCAGAGAATGAGATCTCCAAGAAACATTTAAGGGGCCACGGCTTTTATCTCTTGCCTTGGACAAAGTATATTCTTTTTTTCATTCCAAATCACATGAAATAGCAGAGGAAGCATTCAGGCTTCATTAAATAGTGAGGTTGGAAGTAACATTCACACAGAGATGTAACGGACTGTGTCTGGATATATTCAAGTTTAAGTCAAAAAAGGATCACAAAAACCAGGAAGAGCTAGGAAGGAATAACTGTGCATTCTAAAATAAAATTCTTGCAGCCTTTAAATGGTGCATAGCCCATAGATATCCCTTGACATTCACTTTACACCTTATCTGAATCCAGTATTTTGGCCCTAAATCGTTTTTTATTTCAAAAGAGCTCTTCCACCCTACCACTGCTTGGAGCCCCCCGTCCTGTGATCATCTTCACCTCTGCCAATTTCAAAGGGCTGAGGATAGACCAATGATTCCCTGCAGCAATTACTGCTCCGACAACTAACCAGTAGGATAGTGTAAAGTATGTCCTTCACTCGGTTCCATATGCCAAGCGCCATCTTTTAGGATTCTGCCACTCTTAGAGGAAGAAAAATGATTGCTAGTGAGGATTACTGTGAGAGACAGTTTGATCTATTGGTTAAGGCACCAGGCTAGAAAGTGGGAGATTGTGAGTTCAAGTTCCATCTTAGCCATGAAAGCCAACTGGGTGACTTTGGGCCAGTCACTGTCTCTCAGGTTAATCCATCTCACAGGGTTGTTATTGTGGGGAAAATAGGAAGAGAAAGGTGGGTTGGATAAGTGCACCACCTTAAGTCATTTGTAAAAATAATAAAGGCGGGATACAAATAAATAAATATTCTGCTGTCCTTCCCAATGTCTAAGAATCATATATAAAAATGTTTACATATTTGGGGTTTCTTCTGCTTTATGACTAGTTTATTAAAAACAAATCCAGGTACACATTTTTGTCAACTGGGGAATTTCTCTGAAAACTTCATAACACTGGACTAATCAAGCGAAAGTTGGGACAATAATACTTGGTTTTTGCTAGTTATCATAGGGAAATATCTGGGAAGTAGTATGCCTCTCTGAATTTTTATTTCAGTGCTTCTGTTGGAACCAGTGTATTGCACACCACCTCAGAATTTCTGTCTATTCTGTGAGTGGATGTTGTTGGATATTGTCTCTCCAAACTGGTTAACGATAAGCTTCAGTCTTACACAAACAGGAAATATTGTATGGTACCAACCAAGAATTTGCTTATCATTTAGAAGTTAAACACGTTGATGTCTTGCATGTACTTCTGGAGACCGAATATAGCATTACAAAACAAGAGCAATTTACCACAATTATTTACAATACCTGCTATAGTCCATGTTAGCCTGTCAACCTGAAGCAGCAACAGATTAGCATAAGCATGCTAGATATCATAAGAAGAGGTCTCCTATACCCGTGAAAGAAGTTAGGAAGAATAAAATAGCTATTGATACTGTGTTCCCCCTCTTGCAAAATTTACTTTCTCCAGACAAATAGCAATAGAAGCTGAACATCTATTGATAAAGGAAAAATAGAAACGCTAACCCCAGATACATTTATTCCAGCTTTATTCCAGAGTCACATAGTTGAAAAATAATCCTCAGCTCTAATGTATTACTTGCAAGGCCAGTTCCAGCAGGCCATCATTATGTAGAGAAAAGTCAAGAGTTATGATAGATGGAATGGTTGACTCCAGAAACAGGAAAAGTAAATAAAGTTGTAGTTGGATCTATAGACAAACTTTTATCTGTGAACTTTTCAATTTATTTATTAGACTTATTTGCCACCATCTCACCTCAAGGCATCTCTGGGCAGCTTGCAAACATTAAAAGCCATAAAGCATTGCAACAATAAATACAATAACATGTCAAGGTATTGATTTAACAGCTAACCAGCTTATGTAATGTAAGATTTAAGATGTAATGATGGGAATGACTCAGCAAGGTCTGTGTCATTTTAAGAGCCTTTGTATAAAGGGAAGGCTCTGCTGATGTGTTCTCTCTCTTCCATTTCCTGCTGTAACTGTGGTTTGTTGGATCCTGCTGTAATAGCACGTGTATGTATATTGTTCCTGGTGTATGATATTGTAGATAGTGTAAGATAAACCACCATTTAATATAGACCACTGTTTACTGTGTTACCTTGCACAATAAGATTGTGCACGCTCTAACATAACAGTAATAAATTACATTTGAAAAGATGGGGAGGAAGATAGCAAGACGTATTTTGGTTTTCATTATTTGGGAATGCAAGCAGTTAATAATTCATTAGTATTTTTTCTCTACAGTCAATTGTCAGTGTACCAAATTAATAAAATTCCTTCAATACACGACAAAGCAAACAACTTTTGGAAGGGGCAGACAAAAGGCATCTGTTTGCTACATTCACCATCTTCAATCACAATCACATCATACATTATGAAAACCAGGCAAATCCACTTTTAGTATCTCAGAATGAGATATTATTTTGGAAAGTGGTACTCTTGCTGCCATCTAGTGATGGAGCATAAAAGATAATCAGTTTTTATGCTTCTGCCCATTTATGTACTCTGATTTGATTTTAAGTCAAGAGCTCCTGAACAGTCTTCCTTGGATCTTTTTTTTTTCCTGGAGATGGCAAAGTTTGTAAATCCTATATGGCATTACTAACTAGCATATAATCAACAAAACCATATAAAAAAATTCACATAATTCCATTCAAACCATACAAGAATCTCACACAATTTCAACATCTGTTTATATTGGTCAGATACCTCTTCAATTCTTTTAGATAGGATTACCAAATCTGGGCTATTAGAATCCAGAGAGCCACTTGAGAGCAAAGACATATAGAAAATAACTTTGTGGCATTATCTAATGATTGTCAGAATTGCTGTAACCTAGCTGTTAGCCTTAAATACGGACACTAGGAGGAATGACTTACTATTGGACTAAAGGCAGCAAAACAACTGCAAATTGTCACTGAATGCACATTAACCTGCCTTTTCTGCCAGGTAAGGGGTTGCCCACAATACTAGGGATGGGATTCAGTTTAAGTGCCTGCTGCTTTATTAATATATAACCACAAGCATAAACGTATTAACTGAGGCAGTACTGGCAAATAAATACACCTGTTGCTGAATAATCAATTTACTGTTGTGTTTGAAGAAAGGCTGGAGGAGGACCTCTCTTAGAATTGCACACTTAGACCTAACATGCTCAGTAGCTCTGCTGAATGCACCATGGCTTTAGATGACGCAGGATTTCTAGATCAGCCCCTTGCCCCTTCACAGATTTGGCTGAAAAGCCAAACTAAGAACTGGTGCCCTTCTCCAACAGGGAGTGGGGGAGAGGAATGAAAATTCTTTGTCCTTGCCAGGAAGGAATAGGGAAGAGGCTGGTGGATATGGAAGATGATAGCATTGGCATATCTACCAAATATTACAATTTTCCCAAGACTACCGCACATTTTTAGATTATAGTCCCACAAGAGAACACTGCCCTCAAAACAACTGAAAACAATAATTGTGCTGTATTTGAAGAGCTCCATCTTGTTTTTGCTTTTAGTTTGCTTGGTTGTCTCCTCTACAGGGCTTCTTCTGAGTAATGCTTGGTTCGTGGTTGCATTTTGGCCAGGAGTCTGCTCCTTCTTGCAGCCAATTAAGGACAAAGACAAGCTGCTCATGGTTAATTGCAGTTTATGGCCCAATCACTTCTTTGCGTCCTGGACTTTGCAGCCTAGATTTATTGCTGGAACAATTTTGAGTGATTATTATTTTTTAAAAAAAATATTTACTTATATGCAGATTTAGATCTTTGGTAAAAACGTGCATGCAACACAGGATGCAAATTATAAACATGATTTTCCTGATCAGAATTTGATTATATGATAAGGCAATGGTTAAGATTATGGGCAAAATGTTGGTATTGTAAAGCTGCTTCTGCTTGTATTATTCTGCTTAAGAATGCAACAAAGTGTAGGACCGCATTGTGCAAATAGCAATTCAAAGAGTTTCAAATATGTTTTTTTTACTGGCCAGTAAAAAGACCAGCAAGGACCTAGTGCTGTGTTTTTTGTGGGGAAAGTTGTATTATTTAATTCTTTTTAAAGAGGCTGCAATACTAGATGTGCATACTGAGCATAAGCCACACTGACTGCTTCAGTTGAGACTGTCAAGTCAGCAACATGCTTGTTCAATTGCTGCCCAGGCTAAGTTAGGTCAATGCAACTGATGCCTTGCTTTTTTTGGAGTGTTGTGATTGTAATGATTTTGACTGCATCAAAATTGTAATATGACTTTGAAGCCTTTCATGGAAATGGGGTGCAAATCATTCTTTACCTCTTTTATAAATAAAATGAGCTGAACAAAAATCATCATGTAGATTTCTGATTTGGTTTGGACATATATAAGATTACTTCTCTAGGGCAGTCTTCCCAAACTGTAGCAACAACCATATTATGGACTTCCAACTCCCAGAATGCTCAGCAAAGGTTATGCTGGCAGGGGAATTCTGAAAGTTGAAGTTCACATAGTTAGAAATTAGCAGATGAGAAAACTTTTGGTTTGTTAAATAGTAAAGGTGTCTAGAAAGTACGGAGTGGAGGGTCATGTTTGCTTGGTGAGGCACATTAAAATAATCTATTTTTGACTGTGATTTGGTGACAAGTATGTGTGAGGGTTAATAAAGTTCTGCACTGCAAGAGATTTTAATAGTACCACTTATTGTAGCAGAGTTCCTGGTCATCTAAAAATAATCTAAGTTTAAATTATATTTCAATTAAAATATGGACTAATCTGCTGTTTAGGTATAATCCCTGAATACCAGATGAGAATAAAATTCAGAACTTGAGTTTGCCCCCGAAAGCTACAAACTCAAAAGGATACAATAAAAAAATAAAGATTTCCTGGTTCACCTGGGTTCACCTTCATAATGAAAACAGATGGCAGCATCCTATCAAGGAAGAATTCTGTACTGTTCCTAAAAATACTTCTGAGTTACTCTTGATAGGAAAAAAGCTGTGAAATGCTAAGTAGTCAGGAAAAAGAGTAGCTGTGTGAGCAAAGGGTTTATTCCATCCACTAGGACAGGATTTACTT